CACTTCACAAGATCGATCTAGTGGCTCCATGTGTTCAAAGGTGTGTTATAAATATGATGTTCTGTGTAATGTTTTATGAATGTTCTGAAATGTCTTTATTTTTTATTTTTTTAGATCTTTGAGAACCCCAGTAAACATGACCTAGTCATTCTGGAACCTTCTCACACGTAGGGTAATGATTTCATATCCTTGAATCTTGAAGAGGTGGTCTCCTAATGCCACAAAGCATGGTTAAGAGGAACTAGGAGAGAAGCTGTGGCTGCACCTTGGCTGGAAAGAGCTTCTGTCTCCCTGAGGACACAGCCCTCATTAATCATTGAACCTAACAGCATGAGGTTCATTTACCTGAAAATTCCCTAATCTCTCCTCTGCCTGCAAGAAGGATGCAAATCCACAGATTACCAGCTCCCAGGTTTCAACAATCATTTCCTCCTCAAGCTAAAAGGAGCTTAAACCTGTGTCGAATTAAGATGGTCTTTCAGGAGCTCCTCCACCATCTTCCCAGTCTTGCAGACTCGCTGAATAAATCTTTTTCTTTGCCCCAACAACTTGTGCTCAAGTCATCGGGCCCTTTTCAAGCAGTGAGTAAATGGACCTGGGTTCAGTAACAAAGCTACAAGAGAGATGGCAATTGTTCTCTCTATAAAGCAAAACAGGAAGCAGAGGGAATAAGATTGTCACCCTTCAGGAGTGACTATCTCAATTCAGACAGTTGGACCGGCTCCTAGATCCCATCCCCGAACCTCTCATCCTGGAAATTCCTATTAAATTCTCTTTTAAAAATGTTTTTAAATGTGATTTTTTTTTTCCCCTTTTAATGGACTGGATTGCTGTTATCATTGGAGACCTAGGGTGCTGGTATCATTATACTCAGTCACCTTCTGGCCATGTTCTGCCACTCTGCAGGACAGTGTGCCTTCAATGTCCCATAAATCAGAGCCCAGGTGATTGTGTGTGGTACAAGGTAAGGACCAGAGCCAGATGTCCAAAAAGGAGAATGAGTCGTATTACAGTTTTATCTATAGAGATCTGATTTTTAGCAATCACTCAGGAAGCTGTTAAGGCCCTCAGGTAAACAAAGTAAAATGACATAAAGTCCCCCATTGTCTGTGGTGGACTGTCAGTGCTTTACCTCTGAGTATTTTTTTAAATGTCAAGTCTGAAATACAAGGGCAAAGACAAGGATTTCTGGAAGCCTTAACTGGGAATCCCTTCCACATGTCTGGAGACAATGCTTCAATCCTGGAAGGTGTCTGCTGCTGTTGATGTGCAAAATTTCTTGTTTGGGGGACGACAGAATCTACCCCTGAACTTTAGGTCTCACTCTAGGGAACCAAACTCTGAAACACACACACACACACACTTTACACATTTTTTCCTACTGCAACAATCAACTCCAGTGAATAAACAGGCAGAATAATATTTTTTAAATAAGGATTTTCATCTTCTCTCTTCATGCTTGAATTGAAAGCCCTCCTGAGCAGACACAATTCCTTAACATTAAATTCAGTTCTGAAGTACTTATTAGGAAAGACCACAAAGAGGAGACCACAAAGAGGACACCAAAATTAAGCATGCCCAGAACTCATCTCCCCAAACCCAGACGTGACCCCATTGCCTACTACTCAGTGTACTGGCTGTCAGTGGAACACATGTAAAACCAAGGTCCGAGGACAACCGATAGCAGCAACAGCAACCTGTTTCCCACATTTTGCCACAGAAATCAAGACACCAATCCTGCCCGAGCCTTCTCCTACCTAAAAGACTGGCTGCATTTTAAATCCAAAGCTAAGTCTCCTGTCACACCGAAGGAAGTTTGTTTTTAAGCCCACTACCTTCTCATTAAACCATCTCACTCTAGGACAAGAGTCTACCCAAGGTGAGGCTCCTGTGTGTGGAGAGCAGGACTGAAACTAGGGGAGCAGCTCAGCAGACAGCAAGGGCCTCCAATGCACGAGGCCTTGGGTTCGATTCCCAGCACCAGGAGAAGGAAAGATAGGGAGAAGAAGACAGGGAGGCCAAGGAGGAGGACAGCAGGCAAGACTCAAGTGGTCCAAGTTTTACAGGCCTTATACAAATCCTTTGTGGGCTTTTTAGAGGCTCACCCACCTCCTGCCTCTGCCAGATTTTCCTTTCCAATCTCTCAAGTTTGTCACCACAAGCATCTTCACTCCCGTTAACCTTAAAATTTGTTTTTAAATGGCAAGAAGTGCAATTTGCATGAAATACGATAGGAATTTCTTAAATTTGGTACGATTTAAGCCTCCCCACAATTATTCATGCTCTAAGAGGTGTGTATATACGTGCACTTTTAATAGCATTAATAAACTGGATTCCTTGGACCACATGTCCCAAGGTAAATTCAGTAATTACCATGTGGAAGGGCCACAACTTACTTCAAGGTGGCGGGGGTGGTGTCACGTGCAACTGTGATCTACACCACAAGGAAGCATCACACACTACCAGGCTTTGAATAGTGCATGAATTCCCTTACATTAGAAAATGGCATCACTTCTGAGGACAAAGGGCAGCCAGTGTGACTCTGTCCCTTCATTTGCTGTCATAGGACAGTGAGTGCAAATGGTAACTCTAGACACAAAAATGTTTACCTCTCCTGCAATATCTTTTTTTTTAATTTATTTTTTGGTTAGACATAATACCTTCATTTTTTAAATTTAGTTTTATGTGGCGTTAAGGATCGAACCCAGGGCCTCGCGCATGCTAGGCAAGCTTTCTACCGCTGAGCCACAACCCCAGCCTTCCTGCAATATCTTATATAAGGCTTCATTCATTGTTTTGGTGCACTAGGTACAAGGACAAAATAATTCAAATATACTAAAGGAATTTTCTCCACACTATGTTATAAAATACACGTTCTCTTTAAAGTCGGAAGGAAAGGCAGTGTTTAGCATCCACCCATAAACCACAGCCAAGAGTTACCTGCACTGGCAAAAGGATATAGCTCTATTTCTCTCTGATTTCTGAATTTCCAGTACAAATGAACCCAGCACCCTGCCTTCATGAGTGGTCAGGATCTGATGCTCATGAGCTTTCTGACCCCAGCCAACCTTGGGCCTCCTGACATATCTTAGGCACCAGGATTCCAATCTCATCCAACTCTTCAACTATCTCTCCATACTATGGATCTTTGGAGAGCCCAGTTCCTGACCTTAACACCAGGTAAGAGGACTTCTTCACATAATTACTCTTTTAGTGTTCTCTTAGAACATTTACATATGCACAAATCCAGGATCATATACTAGGCTCTGCACTTCAAGGTCCCCACCTCCACAGACTGTTTCTAGAACAACACTGCTGCAAAACTAGACACTGAGACTCACCCCGACACTCTTCTTATAGACCTGTGACTAGCTGATCACATATTGCCAATGACACTCTTCAAAGAACAGAGGAAACTGGAAGTCACACAAATGATATGAATAGTAACCAGGAAGACATTTCATTACTGGGTCAAACTGGATTAATATGTTGCTTTATTTAGGTTCTCTGTGAAACAGGACACCACCCAACCTTCAATCCATGGCTTTCACAACAATGAGTCCCACTCTCCTTTTGCAGGGGCCTAGATTTCCTCCACCACAAAACTCATCTGCTGCTGATGCAAAAGTATAAGGTGGAAAACAAGATCATCTTTCGTTAAAGCATCAATCACATAAATCAGGTTAGGAGAGAAATTTCCAGGAAGAACGAGGACTTTGTTTAGAGCAGCAAAATTCTAACTTCATTTAGCAGTCCTAGCTTGCAGCCTAGTGCAATGTGGGGCTGCAAATGCATATTTGTTCACCTTTTTTGAAAATGTAAAGCTGTTCATTGTTCATTACTAAGGTGTTTCTCACTAACCCTATGCAGAGTGTGACCATAATATTTTAGGCTTGTTTTGAGAAGCCACATAAATATCCACATCCAAGGAGTAGCTTGCTTCAAAGAACATGCTGAAGGCCTCAGAGGGATCCAAATGCTACCACTCCTCAGTTCATTTTTGTTTGTTTGTTTGTTTGGTACCAAGGATGGAACCCAGGGGTGTCTAACCACTGACATCCCTAGTCCTTTTTTTGAACTTTTAATTTTGAGTCTCACTAAGCTGCATAGGGCCATGCTAAATTGCTGAGGTTGGCTTTGATCTTGTGATCTTCCTGCCTCAGCCTCATGAGTCACTGAGATTAAAGGTGTGCAACACCACGCATGGCTCTTCAGCCCATTTTGAGAAGTCAGTTCATTAGGGACAGTCAGTCATAATGAATGATACATTAACTGATTTTTTTTTTTTTTGAGACAGAGTCTCACTAAGTTGCTCAGGACCTCACTAAGTTGCTGAGGCTGGCCTTGAACTTGTGATCCTCCTGCCTCAGTCTCCTGGAACCGCTGGGATTACAGGCATGTGCCACTGCAACCAGCCATGAACGTAATTTTTAATAATAATGTCTTGCTCTATGATTGGATCTTAATATCCTAACAACTAAACTGAAATCACATGACCATATCCCTTACTCACTGAATTCTGCTTTCAATGATTTTAGCTCTTGCCTTTATTAAAATCTATTACAGAACATATTTCTACCACTAAGATTATTCAAATGGATATACAGAAGCAACTCCAGAATGTGTGGAACAGTTTATGCTATGCAACCTTGTTAAGAGTATTTTACAGCCTGCCACATGGACCCCACTGAATGACATTTGACCTCACAAAATTCTGGTATCTAATCAAGGTCAACGCCAAGCTTATTGTCACATTTCATGTGAAACTCAAGAGATAATTTTTAGGTAGCTTTCCAGCATAGCCTAGATCAGATGAGCATAAATTTGACTGATGTTTTCATTTCTTTATAACAAAGGGTAAGAAAAATCTATTTTCAATTTTTCTTACAATAAGACAACCTAGTCTTTGATATAACCTATTCAGTGTTACTATCTTCTCTTTGAATGCATGAATTCAATGGAATGTACTAATCAAGGGCTTTTAGCAAAGAAATACTTACGCCATGATGCCTGAGAGATGAAACATTTCAGCTGTTATGTAGGACAAATAGCTGTACAGGAAGACAAAGAGCGGTTCAATCACACGGATATTGTGTGTGAAACGAGTAGTAAATGCTGCTATAAATCCCAGGAAGATGCCAATCAGCACTCCGCCAATTCCCACCACAAAGAAGTTAGCAATTCCTGCAAACACGTCAATGGTCTCGATGGTTTTCATCTGGCAAAAGGATTTGAACAAGTTGTAGAGGACCTGGGGGGAGAAAGAAAGCACATTGTCAAGACCCCCTGGAATCCCCTCTGTCTCCCTGGACATGGACAACCTACCTGGCCTTCTAAGAGGGACGCTTCTTCTGGGAACCCAAGAGGATGACTCAGGGCACTCATTGTGTAGCTACTTGTCGCAGATATTAATATTGTGGTTCTAAACAAACACACACAGATCTTTGATAAAAGTATGCTGTCAGGAAAACTACTTTTAAAAGTAAAGGCCAGGAGATTCCAGGGTTATTACTTCACTTACTCTGAAATCATCCCGTTTTCCAGTATCACCTGAATGAGTATTTGAAAATAGCTGTTCACCAGCCTTCACCATGACACTGTTGTTTAGGAGTCACATGTCACAGAGAATCTTACCAGCACTCCTGTGGATATATTTGCAAGGTCCTATCATGGAGTCACTCCATGGAAGGTGGAAGGGACCCACCCATCAGTAGAAGCACTCAAGTAAAGTAGTCCTCCTCCCAGGTCACCATAGTCCTCACCCCATATCCCATCTCCTCCTGCCTGCAGGGGAGCTACAAGAGTTCCTTAAATCAAAGAGGATGTGTGTGTGTGTGTGTGTGCGTGCATATATGGAGGGGGAGGGAGAAAAAGCACTCACAAGCTGGACACTGGCACATATTTTCTACCTCTGAAATAATGAGTCAACACTGTTGTTTGGTTTCTTGGTTTCTCTACATGGCTTTGGGATAGGGAAGACTTCAAGAATGCTAGGCACTTCATGCATACTGAGTAATGTGCTTTTGACCCTTGGAGGGGGAGGGGTACTGAGTTCAACAGAATAGGAAAGGATGGTTTGAGTCCTGCCATTTTTTTTTTTTTTTCACAAAACCAGAAAGTCAAATGCAAGTTCAGTTTCCCTACAGCTTTTCACCATGATATTTACAACTCTGGGAGCACCTAGGAACTTGGGGTGAGCCAACTAAAGAGGAGACAAAGGCTGTGCTATACCTTCATTTCAATTCTGAGAAACTCAAAATGGATCCAATCTGTCCATGGTCAAATGAAAACATAATGTCAGGGGCAATATCAGAATGCAGTTCTCCTGACCTGGTTAAGGTGCTCAAGGTTCAACGTGGACAAGTGAGTCAGAGTCCTCCTGCTAACCAGCCTGTGTGCTGGCAAAAGCCACCTCACACTAGTTTCTGCTTCACCTGAGACAATTTACATAGCATACCACATTACGGGTTTGGTATACTTTGTTTTCTCTTTTCTCCTGGATTATAAGTTCCTCGGGATCAAACAATACCTTATGGTTTACATCCTCCATGTTACCTCGTAGATTCAATAAATGCTTGAAAAAAGTGAGTAATTCCTGAGAAAGCAGTGGGCATTTTCTTTATCCTGATTATTGATATAATACCCAAGAACATTTAGTATCTTACCATCAAGAAATGACTTGAGAGAAGAACGAAAGAGAATTCCACCCTTGAGGAATTCAATATTTTGAAGATATCATCATTTGCCAAACACAGAAGAAACTGGTTCCAAGTAACATCTGCTTGTTACTTTCAGCCAGAGGCTGGCTGCAGGATGGAAGACCAACAGCAGTGGCTTACAGCAAGGGCGTCCTGAAAGGGGGTCAGAGATGTGCTACATACCCCCCAAGCCTCCAACTGCCAAAGCCAAAGGTGACAGTCATAAGCATCTTGGAAGAAAGAGAGAAGAGAGATGGGTTTCCACGCCATTCTGTGATACATTGTTTCTACCCTGATAGTGTCCCTCTAATCCATCTGGACATGAAAGTTCTCTCCCCACACTCCCTGGCTCCAGGCCTCCCTGCCTCTAGTTTGCACCAGGAGTCTTACTGCTTCCTTTCAATAATGCCCCCTACAGTCACCCCAAGAAACCTCCTCTAAATGCTGCCCTTCCACTTTCCACTCCCAAGATTAAAATCTTTGGTTGCCTGACTCCGGAAGGCCTGATATTCTCAATACACTTGACACACCCTTAAAAGGTTTTTTTTTTTAACATTTTTATTTCTCTTCAACCCCTGGGTGCATCCTCACCAAGTCTGGGTGAGGATTTCACTACTGCTTCCCAAACCACATTATATTTATTGATTCCTGCCCAGGTTTTCTTTCCTGATGCTTCCCTTGAAAAAAACTTGGTCACTAAACCTGGGGAAATTTTATTTATTTTTTAAGGCACAGCTAACACTACTGTCTCTCCCAAGAGCCCTCCTGGATGACCACAACCCTTGTGAATCCTCCCTTCACCGTGACCTCTGACAATGCACAAATGGATGCATCCCAGACTGTTCTCTGCTTTGCAATGCACAATCTTGTGTTGATGGTACTGCCTCTTGAGTGAAGGCCTCATTTCCTCAACAAAATCAGAAATTTCTTTCCCACACAGAGCCCAGGGTTTAAGTGAGTGTCTTCCTCCCCCTCTCCCTGTCCCCACCCCATCTGGCACTCTGATAAGACCCACAAGGGACATAAGTGCTCAGGGTCACAGAAGAACTGGCACCAGCAGGTGGTCATAATTTCATCATCCTTCCAAAACTGTTTTCTTGGGCAACTCAATCCATCATTCTATCAAAGGTACAACTACTCTAAATATCCCTTTAGATGTCATTAAGAGTCGTAGGCACTTGACTTTCAGCACACTGGGCAGAAACTCCAGTTTGATCAATCGCCTGAGATGTCAGCACCATGTTTGAAGAAATGGCTTAAGCAGAAACGTTACCTTGACAACCAGAATGCCTTCCATGACCTCCAACTTGGTTGACACTGAACCTGACATCAGTGGATCAGCTCAAGATAAAATTATTTTAGTTAAACTGGCTACATCTCCACACTTAGTTCATTCGACTTAAATCCTTTAATTTTATCCAAGGGAATTGATACAGAAAAGTTCTTTGAAGTTTTAATATATATGTATATATGCATGATATGTACATATATATATGATGTAAGAGGGCTGCTAATATTTCTCCACCAACTCTGTACAAAGATGGGGTCAACTTGACACTTGCATTTTTAGGAAATTAAAATTTCAGTGATTCCTTTGTGAGCTAATTTGACAGATTCATGCTTTTAAACTGAAATTGAAGTTCTGTTTGTTATGATTATTCCAATAAATATATGTAATATATATAATTTGGGAATTAGTTATTTTTTCTTTCTTTCTTTTTCTTTGGAGGGGAATTGAACTCAGGGGCACTTAACCACTGAGCCACATTCCCAACCCTATTTTGTATTTTGTTTAGAGACAGGGGCTCACTGAGTTGCTAAGCACCTCACTGTTGCTTAGGCTGGCTTTGAACTCACCATCCTCCTGACTCAACCTCCCAAGCTGTTGGGATCACAGGCATACGCCTCTAGCCTGGCTTTATTTTGACTTTTGATTTACAATATGCACTGAGTCCACAGAACCATGTAAAGTAAGGATGCAAATACAATTTTATTAAAGTAGCTCTATTCCAGAAAAAAAAAAGGTGTTCAGATCATTTTCTCTTATATAAAACATAAATTATAATCACTTTTGCATAATGAATTTCAGATCTATTTTGCTACTTTCAAAGTCAAAATTAAATTATAAGTGGTCATTGCTTACCAATCTTCCTCAAAAATTCCACTTCAGAGTCCCCACTCACTGGCCCCTGGCGTATATCTCAGGGTCTGCCTCAGAGCAAGCTTTCCTGAACTAAGCCTAGTTAAGGGTAGAAAACTAGGAAATGCTTGAGGAAGCTCTTTAAGACTTCTTGGAAAATTTGTGAAACTTCTCAATAGCTGCATTAATGGGTTCTGAGAATGACGTTGACAATAACCATGTGAACATGTCACTTGTCTATGGACTACTATGGAAGTAGCAGGATATCTCAGACAGCTGAGAACTGAAAGAATCTTCAGATTTTGAAAAATTTTCATAAAATATGAACTATAAGAGACAACACAAAAATTCTATTTAGAAATCACACATTTATTGTTCAATTAGTTGTCCTTTTTTGGTTAATTTTAATACACGATAGTCTTGGACAATACCATGAAGTTTGATCTACCATGTATATATACAATTTCTCTTGCTTTTGAGACATTTCTGTACTAGAATTTCTTCCTTTCATTTTTCCGTGTCGGTATTAGATTCCTCATCATCTGGGAAGAGGTTAAGAGCTCTAAAACTACAATTTTAACATTAGTTCTCTTTGATTTACCTAAATCACTCCACCTGCAACTCCTTTACTGTAGGCATCATGATCCACATTTTCAATACCTTTTCTAGTCTATGAGTTTCTCTCCTAGAGATAAGTCCCTCTTCTGGAGATAAGACTGGAAGAATGAATCAAAGAATCTCCAATAAATCATCTCCACCCCTATTCTTTGAGGACATCTGAGTAGGAGAAAAAGTAATAATTTTGACACCATTGTTCTCATTGTTCCTGACATGGTCCATTAACTACAGTCTTCTGCCAATTCAGTGGGAGAAACAGGTAGTTTATTCTTTGGCATTAGGTAGGGAAACCCTTGGGCACACCCTGACATCTCATCCATGTTCTGAGAGCATGCATGCTTGCAAGCCAGTGTCTTGGTATCAAGGAAGGCTCTTTTCTGCAGAGCCATTGGAGTTGTTCTGATTTACTGGCTCTGGCTGTGGACAATGGCTTTCACCTCTAAACCAGCTGTGTCCTTTCTCTGTCCTTGTCCCTCTTCCTTATTGGAATGGCAAGCTGTCAGTCTGGCCCACTGCCCTCCCTGGGCCAGGCCCCACTCTCCATCCATAAATCCACAGTGGCTGGCTTCGTGCCTCTGAGAGGAAGCTCAGGACTTGCCTGCTGCCTTAGCACACTCTAAACACTGACTTATCCTGATCCCTTCCTGAAATATGATTCTGGAAAACCTTACAGAATGGATGGAGTCTCAGGTGTTTGAGAAATTTTCTGAGAAGCAGGGACGCAGTATAAATGGGAAGCATTCTGGAACTGGCCTGACTCTGCTGAGCACCCCCTAGAAGGAGTGCAGCAAGGGTTCTCCTTTCTCTGTCAAGTTCCCTTTTCATTAATAGATTCACTCCAAGCATTCCACATGCAAATTTCCACAGTCTCCTTCAACAAGGGTAAAATTTACATACTGAAGTCACTGTGGAAAACTTGATGCCTGAGGAAGTTACAGTGAGTTATAAAATGTCTTCGATATTGTGGCAGTTTCAAATTAAGATTTAATATTGGTAAGTTAATGACTGTTAATAAATAATAGAATATATGAATTTGGTTTGGTTCTGGGAGTGAGCTAACAGCAATCTTAAACACCTATCTTAGCAGATACTCTAAAATTATGGTCAATAAACTTTCAATAAATTGTCTACATAACAATACCCATATAGAATTAATAGACAGCCTTAGAGATGATATTTTAGTTTCAGAGATCCATGTTTGCCGTAGAATATGATTAACAGAGGACAATGGTTTCTATGTAGGCTGTTAAGTTAGGAGTAACATTTTAAGAGTAGGAGTTAATAGAAAGGGTATTTAAAATTGTTATTTAAATCATGCTTTATTTAACATTTCCCCTGCCTCAATTTTCTTATCTGCAAAATGGGAACAATACCTACTTGATAGGTTCTCACAGAACTGAGCACAAGGGAAGTATTCACTAAAGGTTAATGGTTATCATATCTGTCACCCCACTACAGCATCGCTAGAGCTAGCTAATTAAATTATTAATCCGGGATCACTTGGGAATCTCTAAATATTACAAGAAGAGCTGTCTGCAGATCTGTGGGCAAGGGGAGATGTTTCCTCCTCCTTTCTCTCCACCCTTGCCTGAGTTTGGAATTGTGCTAAACCTTAAGATCATAACAGCCTCTGAATCTAATTATGTGGCAATTAAAAGAGAATTAAAAATAAGTTGTTTTTCAATTAAATACCCACTTAGGAGAAAATGATGAGAACTAGGGATGTGCTGGTTGGGTAGTAACAGAAAATGAACATGTGGCAAAATTTTTCATTAAGATTGTTAACATAATACATAAGCTGCCACCAGGTAGAAAATGGGCACTTAGTAGGTATTGTTGTTCCACAGATGTTATACATATCGCATATCGGTGGCATTACTTCTCACAAAGATTTCTGGGATCTGAAGTGTTACATTGCTATGAAAGACCATCACATTTAAAAATGCCAAAATGCTAAATCATCAGAGGCACAAAGACCACAGTCACATTCATGCTCCTCTGAGGACCAGGCTCTTATATGAAGGGACTAGCTACATATTTTGTGAAACCTGGTGCAAAATGAAAATGGGGACCCAGTTGTACAATAAGAAATAAAAAGTAAGCAATACATTTAGAAAAGTATAAAGAATTTCAAGGCAGTGACACTGAAGCATTAATCTAAGTGAGGGGCTGATACTGTGATATATATATTTGGTCTTTGCCCACTTTCTTGGCATACAACTTATAAAATGCTTGGAATCTCTGAAGTATATGCTAATGATTGATGGCTGGTGGCCCCATTGTAGCTTCAGGATTGGAGCTGGTCACTGGAGAGACCAAGGTGGGATTAAAAGGCTAGGACTTTTACTCTGACCTCCAAAGAGGACAAAGGGGCTGAAGGTTAATTTTATCACTAGTATCCAGTGATTTAATATTCGGCCACGCCTATGTGATGAAGCATCCATAAAACTCCAAAAGGGCAGGGTTCAGAGAACACTTGGAAAGCTGAACATGTGGAGGTTCTTGAAGGGCAGTGTACCCACAGAGCACATGGAAGCTTCTGCTCCTTCTCTCCATCTGTATCCTTTGTAATATCCTTAGTAAACCAGCAAATGTGTTTCCCTGAGTGCTGCGAGCTTCTCTGGCAAGGAAGAGGTCACAAGAACCTCCAACTTGGAGCCTCTCTGTCAGACGCACAGGTAAAACACCTGGGGCTTGAGATGGCATCAGAGGGGGAGGAGCACTTGGGGATGAGCCTGCCACCTGGGGGGATCTAATGCTATCTCCAGGTGGGCAGTCAGAACTGAACTGAATTCCAGGACACCTAGCTGGTAGCTGGGTGGAGAAACACCCACTAACAGCAGCAGTCAGAGGCACCTTGTTCTCACAATATGGTGGGAGAAAGTGTGTTTGGTTTGATTCCTCTGCGTCCTCAGAGGAAACCTGCTAAGATGCAGGTGAGCACTGGGCTCCGGGTGCTAGGCCACAGTAACGCGCATGACGTGTTACTCACCACTGTGACAGCATCGTTCAGCAGGGACTCCCCAAAGACCAGGATGTAGAGCTGCTCGTTGACATGGATGTTCTCAAAGACGGCGAGCACCGCCACGGGGTCCACGGCTGAGATCAAACTGCCAAAGAGCAGGTTCTGGAGCAGAGTGATGTCACTAAGGCCAAAGGCTTCAATCTGGCAGATGCCAAACAGAGAGACCCCGATGCCAATGGAATTCCAAAGTGTTCCTACCACGGCATACCAGAAAATAGTGCCTATGTTCTCAAAGAAGGGGCGAGTGGGCATGAAATAGCCGGCGTCCAGCACGATGGGCGGCAGGAGATACAAGAAGAAGACATCAGTCTTCATCGCGGGGGGAGACTTCTCATCTACACCAAAGATAATGCCACCAAGTAGAAGTCCGACCATTATGAGAAGGCAGCTCTCAGGCACGATGGTGGGCAACTTGTGATAGAGATGGAAGCCTGATAACGAAAACACGAAATCTGGGTTATGCAGGAATTATGGGGAAGGAACATTTGTTTTTTTTCTAACCAATGGGTGTAATTTCAAAATCTGCCAGGTCTCCCAGTATAATTCACTAGAGACTGGCTTTGCAGATTACAAGGTAAATCAGATGATTCCCTCAACACCATTCACATTTATTTATTTATGTCCACGCCATTCATCACTATCAAGGTACAAACTGGACTATAAATCAAAATGACAATGCTACAGCTACACATCATCTACATAGTACTTTTTTAAAAAAAAAATTTTGTAAACCCCTATTAAATTTTTCTTAAATGCTGGGACTGTGGAAATGAAATAAAACAACAAAATTTTGTATGTAAAACAATTTAGTGATTTCCCAACATTTTCAGATGTTACATTGCATCCTTATGAAAACCCTAACATATAAGCAAGGCAGTCATTTTCATGATTTTTTAAAATTTAAGGGCCTCCAAGGCTCCAAGATATCTAGGGTATTACCAAGGTGGCTGGTCACAAACCCATCTGTGGATTACTGTTGCCATCTCTGGCACTCATAAAAAATAATAATATTTATTTTTCATTTCAGATTCTTTCACTGGGGATGCTGAATATATTTAATTTTTGAGATATGTGATCCTTCAGAAACAACAAATAAGTTCATCAAGATGCATCAATATCTACTTGATGAAAGACATAAATTTACCATGATGTTCAATTTCAAAGAGCTTCCAGTCAAGTTATAGGATATATTATTTGTGACTTACTCCAATATACAAGGCTAAGTGGAATTGAGCCCAGCTAAGAGCTGTGAAAATACAAAGGAGAAATCAATGTGCTAGAGAAGACACCAAGGAGGAGCCAGGATCCATGCACACTTCAAGGATAGACAGATAGGAGGGAAACATCCACTTCCCAAACCAAGATAGAGTCCAATGTAGCTTTAACACGTAGAATACATGAGAGGAGTCCTGTGGCAGAAAGGGGCAGAGAAATGCCAACACATACGGGCAACTATGGTTTGGATCTGAAATGTCTCCCAAAGGCTCGGGTGTTGGAGACTTGGTTCCCACTGCAGCCATTTTCAGAGGTGGAGTTTGGGGAATTGAAAGGATCATGAAGGCTCTGACCTCATCAATGGATTAATCCATTGATAGATTCATAATTTGAATGGACTACTGGGTGGTACCTGTAGCCAGGTGGGGCATGACTGTATGTCACGGAGGGCATTCCCTGAGGGACTATATCTTGTCCCTGGTCCCTTCCCCTCTCTCACTTTCTCTCTGCTTTCCAGTTGACATGAGCTGATGAGCAGCTTTTCTCCATCAAGCCCTTCTACCATGAAGTTCTGCCTTGCCTCAAGTCCAAGGCAATGAAGTAGGCTGGTTGTAGACTAAAATCTGTGAAACTGTGAGCCTCCTAAATCCTTTCTCCTTTAAGTTATTTCTTTAGATATTTTGTTACAGCAATGCAAAGTTGAGGAATAGAAACCTAATTCAGGAAGATCACTTGACAGGGCTTAAATGAGAACAGAGTTTATTTGCAAGACAGTAGCAAGTCCTACAGAAGGCATTTAGTATAGTTTAGAATTAAAGCAGAATATGTTAATTTTGTAGTTTAAATAGATCCCCTCCAAAATTCCAGTGTGATAGTATTAAGAGGTGGGACCTTGGAGAAAAACAAAGGCCTTTAAGAAAGAGACTTCTTGCAGGGTTTGGTGAGTGCACTATTCCACTCAGATTTGCCTTTCTGCCTTCCACCATGTGAGGACACAACAGGCCCTCAATAGACACCAAATGCTGGCACCCTGATCATGGACTTTTAGCCTCCAGAACTGTGAGAAAATAAATATCTGTCTTTATAAATTATCCCAGTCTGTTCTAACAGCATATGGACCAAGACAGAAATGTATCTAATTATAGGACAATAACACTAAAATAACAGAGTAAATCCTAAGAAACTAACAATCATACAAGTTTTAATTCGTAAATCCCTTTAACAGGACTAAAAACACAGTGTGAGATACTTTGTGAGCTAAAGAAACAGTCATCACAATACTTGGAAGGGATTTGCAGAACTCATTTCTAAAGGATAAAGTGGACATCTGCATGTGGAGTATTTGAACTGCTCTTCAGTGTTGATTATTTTATAATTCGCCCTATAATAGGCAGTAAAACTCAGCTGTTCTTTACTCGTGACCCCTGGCCAGTTCACTGACCTAACCAATAAACAGAGAAGTGAAGAAATCCTCTGACAACCATCTTTGCAATCTCCCCACACGCTGGGTCCTTTTATAATTAACATTTCCTGTAGGATAAGAAACTTGCCAAGAGCATCTCCCTGGCCTCCCAGGATCCTAGTGCAATCACCACCTTTGGGGAACACAGCCCCAACCTGAAGTCTTCCTGCATTCAAAGCTGCCATCTGATAACAGCCCCCAGCTTGAGGTGCAGCAGTCCTGCTTGCTCTCTGCCTCTGACGGTGGACAGGTGGACAGGTTACCGGCATGGCCAGCACCCACTGACTCATTTGTATAATAGAGACAAATGCACCTCCCAGGTAAAGATCTGTAAGGATAACTGGGTGGGTGACTTTCTGATTTCTCACTGCACCTGTAATGTCACAAATGCCTCCAAACTTGAGTCACCTCTCTTTGTTCTACAGGAAAAAGCAAAAGAAAAAAAAAAAATTTAAAAGAATGCCCAGGAAAAAAAAAATTAAAAAGGAGCCCTCGGATATAAATCAGAAGATAGGCAAAGCCTGTTTTTGGAAGCTCCCACTTGCTTTTTGTGCCTTCTTCTTTCCTTTCACCTACTTGACCTTGGAGACCCAGTGCTCTCACATGGAGGCTCTCCAGCTAAGAATCCAGGTGGGGAGAGCAGAGATCAGAGCCTCTACATGCATCTCAGAAGCCAAAGCTCAAGTGACCTAACTGATCCTGACCGACCAGGAGACCAAGCCAGCCTGAAACAATCAAGGAGAAGCAAATAAAATATAGCAACCGATATGCAGGGTGCAATTAGGAAGAAGGACCACTGGGACAGAAGGCCAAAGGGGTGTGGAGGAAGCAAGAAACAGAGAAACTAGGTCGTGCTACAATCAGGAGAAAAAAAAAAACGCAACAAACGCAGGAACATGGGTTGAGGAAATCAGGCATTCTCATTTCTAAAACATCTGCTGTCCCTTCTCATAGGAATTTCAATTTTGTCATTCAAAAATCAATCTGATTTACTCTTCTGAAGATAGCCGCTGCTGAATCTGCCCAGTTGACCCAGGGTCAAGAAGGGGTGACATGATCTTATTTCCTTGCTATTTGGTGAACATAAGCAGAACTGTTGAATTGTAAAGTATAATACTCTGCTGACAAGGAAGGCTTTGTGTGTGTAAGTGTCTGTGCTTTTGTGAGCCACCAGAATAAAAAAGGCATCAGCAAAATAAACAGTGCAAACAAATTAGAAAGGCTTCTTAAATTCCAATACTCACAGAATAAAGCAAATAAGTCACCTATCACAAATGTACAATGCATGCATGCCTCCCCTTTAAGAATTTCTTCCAGGGAAAAATAAAGTTAGTAGAATGGGCTTTTCTCAGCATTATCATTCCACCTAATATGACCAAGAAACGTACCAGACCTTTTTGATGAACCATGAGCTGTAATCTGTATAGTCCAGAGACTGATCACTTTTTCTCTATAAAGGTTTACATGGTAACTATTTTCGACTTGAGGTCTATATTTACTAGTCTTTGCAGTGCAAAAGTAGCCACAGATCATAGCAGAACAAGTGGGTTTCAGTCAAAGTTTATTCCTATTCGAATTACATATTCATACATATGGAAACTAGAATCCCGTACAATTTTATAAGTCACAAAATATTTTTCTTTAGATTTGATATTTTTTTATGGGGCAGGGGCAGAGACCAGGGATTAGATTCAGGGACACTCAACCACTGAGGCACATCTCAAGCCCTATATTGTATTTTATTCAGAGACAGGGTCTCACTGAGTTGCTTAGAGCCTCACTGAGTTTTCTGAGGTTGGCTTTGAATTCCCAATCCTCCTGCCTCAGCCTCCAGAGCCACTGGGATTACTGGCTAGATTTGATTAGAATCACTTAAGAATGTAAAACTTACCTTACAGGCCATATAAAGCCAGGCCACATTAGGGCCCCAGGCAATAACATTACCAATTCCTGGCTTAGTGTATTTCCTGCTAATTTCTGTTTAGGGTATTTGGGACATATCTTGAGTCACTCAACTTTTGTTACTAGTACATAAAAGTCAATGAGGGTTGGTGCCTTAAAAAATCATTGTTTTATTTTAATTGCAGTAATGTGGTGTGAAAGCAAACAAGATTAGAGGTCGCTTACACAAAACATACAGTGAAGAGATTGCTCTATTCGAGTGAATCTATTTTAGTTTTTCTCTGTATACAAGTGCTGAAATTAATTGAGCTTAAAAACTAAAGATCTGTGAACATGTGCAATGTGATGAATTCACTGTATTTTTTCATTACATTTAAAATAACCTATCTGTCAAAGTCTGGAAGGAACAAAGTGTGAGACAACACAGGAAGCTTCCAGATAGCAGGATCCACAGAGAGCAACAATGTAAAAGTTAAAATCAGAAAACCGCCTCCAACAAAAACAGCCAAAATAAGTCTAAACAACAACAAAACCCCCAAACAAACCAACCACACTGTTCTAATTAGCATGAGAAGAAGGTGACATAGTGGTAGAGAGTAGAGATAGAATCTCAGGAGAGCAAGCATTAGCTTTAGACAAAGACAAATACAAATATTCTATGAAATGTTCTAGATTTCATTTATTTTTTGTTCTATATTTTAAAAGAGCTTGAAGAGAAAATAATGGCATCAATTGGATCAGCAAATATTTGTCAAGCTCAGTTAAATACAGGGCAAGTCCCTGTGGGTACCAACAGGCACCACACACTGATGGTGACTGCTGGTCCAGGCACAGGGTCTCAGGGCTGGTGAT